AGTTGGAAGGCCCTGGCGGGGGATGGGGGGGGGGATCCACCCTCGGGGGTAGGGGGAGATCCCCACGTCCCCCTCCCCGTGGGGCCTTTTACTGAGAGCAGCTTGGGGCTGCTATTGAGGGCCTGGCTCTGGCCCAGCTTTAGGAGCAAGGTCTCAGGGCTGCTACAGGGGTCAGGGCTTTGGCCCTGATGTAAGGGCTGGCTCTCAGGGCTGCTGTAGACACCATAGCTTTAGCCTGGCTATTGGGGCTGTGTCTTAAGGTTGCTGTAGTGGCCCTGGCTTTGGGTCCTAGTGTTGCTATAGACGGCTGGGGCTTCAGCCCCATTGTAGTGGCCAGGTCTTAGAGCTGCTATACAGTTCTTGGCTTTGGTCCTGGTATAGGGGCCAGATCTTAGGTCTTCTATAGGGACCTTAGCTTTGGTCCTGCTATAGGAGCTGAGTTGCAGAGCTCTTATAAAGGCCGTGGCTTTAGCCTCACTAGAGGGGCTAGCTCTCAGGGCTGTTACAGGGTCTTTACCCAGCTGCAGGAGCTGTAGCTCTGGCCCATATAGAGGGACTGCATCCCAGGGCCATCATAGGAGCTGGGCCTCCATGTCTGGTCTACTGTCTTTGTCATGTGTTGTTGGAGGTTGATCCACTTGCTCCCACCAGGACAAGACAAGACCCAATCCTGCACAGGCCCATTCCCCCCAACCCAACCTCCCCCCACCATGCCTCCATGATGCCTGGTGACGGACAGACACCAAGTGAGATCAACCAAGCAGACCAGGAGGGGAAACCAAGGTACAGAGGGGTGCAGGGAGTTGCGCCCCCAAAGAAAGGAACCCAGGCATCCAGGAGGGGCAGAACCACGGGAGCAGAGCTGGCAATATGGTTTCCAGTAGCTTGGTTTATTTTGTATTCGATCCAGTTCCAAGAGCAGGGAGAGAACCCAGGAGTCCAAGCAACTGGCTTCCCCTACTGTAACCCATCAGATCCCACTCCCCCCCCCAGAGCAGGAAGAGAACCCAGGCATTTAGGATCCCAGCCCCACCTCCTTTAGCCCCCTCCGAGCAGGGATAGAACCCAGCCATCTGGGTCCCAAGCCCCCTGCTGCAACCCCCCAGCCCTCGCCCCCTCCCAGCACAGGGATGGAATCCAGGCGTCCAAGCCGTACTGGTGGTGAGGAGGCACTGCTCCAGGGGGAAGTTGGAGAGGGAGATGGCCTGTTCCTGTTCCCGTGCCCATCAGTCACGTTGCGGAGATGGCATGGTAGGTGTCCAGGTGCTGGGGTACGGCTGTGACCTCAATCACCTGCCCACACACCAGTCCCAGCCAGTTCTGTTGCACCACCCAATAGGCGGCCCTCTGTGGAGACAGTGTGGAATGGGGGAGTCAGTGTAGTGCACAGTACCACAGGGCACATCCCAGCTGGGAGCAGTGCAGTGCTAGGCACATTAAGAGGGGAATTACAGTAGCAATGTCCAGTGCCTGGCTCCATGGGCCCCATCCTGGCCGGGGCCTGTGCAACCCTTGGCACTTACTAGGTGCATTACAGTAGCAATGGGCACCACCTGGCATGTGCTACTATAATGCAGCTAATAATGTGCTGCACCTGGCACCCCAGCCACAGCTCCACTAGGGGCTATCATACCATACCATACCTAGTAAGAGTGCAGTGCCTGGCTCCATGGGGCATTCCCAACTAGGGTCTGCAGTGCCTGGTACGCACTACCATAATCATGCACTGAATCACGTGCAGCACCTCAGGCCCCAATCTTGGCTGGGGCCTGAACAGCACCTGGCATTTCCTCCATGATGCTACTGTAATGTATCCAATCCTAAGCAGCACCCAGAACCCTGGGGTCCTTATCCCTGTCCCACCCCAACCTGGCTGCTAATGTAACGCACCTAATACTCAGGGACTGGGCTTACGCGGATTGGTCCCCAGCCCAACAGGCCAGAAATTCAGCAGTGTGGTGCCAGGGAATGCTTGCAGCTACAGAGCAAACCCCCACCAAATATTCACCAAGTCCCACCATGTGTCTGGCACTCTGTACTCTTCAGTCACAGTCGACCTGCAACAGGAAAGGGACTGACAGTTTAATGTCAGGAGCTGAGGGTCACAGAAAAGACCCAGGATGGACCAGCACAGGTCACAGATAACACACAAGGCCTTTCTTTGTCCTGGGAGGAGATGTGTTGGACCCAAGGAAGACAAACTGGGCTAAGAGATCAAGGCACCGATAGCACAAAAACCAGACTGGAGGCCAAACCAGGAGGCATTTCCACTGCCTGCAGGGTACAAAAATGCCAGCAATGACCAGGCTCCCTACCAGCATGCCAAAGCCAAGTATCAGCTTCTCATCCAACCAAACAGCCAGGAACATTACAGGGCAGTGATATGCTGCCCCACCCACCACCCACGTTAAAAGCCATCACATTTTGAGGCTTTGGCAAGAGCTCACACACCTCATGGCTGGGCTGTCCGGCATGGAAGTAAGTTTACTTGGGAGGAGGATGGATCGGTCCCAGCTGCACGGATAGTGCTGGAAAGAAAACAAGGCAGGATTTTGGTGAGGAATCCACATAGCAGCAGGCAGGCTACTGCCTCACTGCTAGAGGATGGCTAGCTTCTTAGTCAGACTCCACAGAAAAGAAACAAGATCCCAGCCCATCACAGATCAGCTACATCTGCATTCAGAACCTGCACCTTCCTCCTCTTGTTATGCACAAAACCTACTCAGCCTCTCAGTTTTGCTGCCAAATGACCCCTCCAGGTGAGTAATGGTAGTTACTTAGGGGTTTTATCCCCAGGTAACCCCCTCAGACAGTACTCTACTTCCTTTCCCCTCTTAAGGGAAGTTGTACTTACAGTCGGTCTGGGCAGCCAGCTTCTTGCTCTGTGGCTGGTCTGTTTAAAGCAGAAAGGAATCCATTAGGTGCAGCAAAAACTCTCTCCAGTGCTCAAAGACAGCCCTGCCCTCCAGGAAAAAAAAAAAAAAAAAAAAAAAATCAGCCAGGGACCAATCCTAGGGGTACAAGGGGCTGGATCTGGCTATGACCTCTCACCAAAATGAGCCTATGGCATGGAAACAACAGGCACTTGACAACCACAGAAGCAAGTTTTTTTTGGTTTTGTTTTGTTTTTGTAAAAATATATAGGATACACACACACACACCCCCCTTATATATACACACTTTCTAGTCACTGATCATTGCATTCTTAACCCACCATAGGAATCCACGCACCCATTACAATACTCGCACCCGTGGAATGGCACACCTATCCACAAATCATCCTTTCCCTTAAAACCCCAGTTGTGTCTTTGTCCTGTTCCCAAATATAGGGTTAAAAACTCAGTTCATTCATTGTCACTTTCGCTGGAGAACATGCTACTGCGGTCACTGTTGCTGTCCTCATCATTATCTTCCAGTCTGGTTGTTTCAACGTCCTCTTCACTGTCACTGTCTGATTCCCCATCCGGGGGGGGGGGAAGGTCTTGAAACATCCTGTGCCAAGTGTCCCTCTGCCAGGGTGCTTTGGCTGCATCCTCACCATCGTCTGCTACCGATTTCTGGTAGTAGAACTGGAGTTCACTCAAAGCCATTTTAACATAGTCTACCAGCTCGAGGTTTGCGTGCCTGTACATCAGGAGGCTCCTGGACTTCCATGGGGCACTCCTGATGCAGGACATGAACTGATCAAGGTGTGCTAACAGGCTCCCTTGGTATTTCATCAGGTGTCCATACAGCACTGCCTCTCACCGCTTTACCTTCTGTTTCTAGCATGGTCCCAGCCATGTATGGTCTTTACCCTGTGCTTCGGGATACACACAATGATTGGGTGTTGAGTGCTGAAAGCACTAGAGTCCCTGCCAGCACCAGAGTTAAAAATGCAGGCTAAGAGTCCTGGGAGCTGGCCTTTATCCCCAAACCTGCCAGCAGCCCTCAGACAAACCTTTCCATTTGTGCAGCATATGGGAATCTAGGGCGGCCATGATGCCCCCTGGTGGCTCCACAACCATGCCCTGCTATGCTCCTAGTTTCATAGTTGGTAGGGTCAAAAGGGACCTGAGTAGATCATCAAGTCCGACCCCCTGCCATGGGCAGGAAAGAGTACTGGGGTCAAACGGCCCTGGCCAGGTGTTCCTCCAGCCTCCTCTTAAAGGCCCCCAAGGTAGGAGCCAGCACCACTTCTCTTGGAAGTTGGTTCCAGATCCTAGCCGCCCTGACAGTGAAGTAGCGCCTCCTAATATCTAGCCTTAATCTACCCTCTGCCAGCTTGTGACCGTTATTTCTAGTCCCTCCTGGTAGTGCTCGGGGGAACAGGGACTCTCCCAGTGCCTGCTGGGCCCCCCTGACAAGTTTGTAACGGGCCACAAGATCCCCACCTCAGTCTTCTCTTGTGGAGGCTGAACAGGTTCAGGTCCCTTAGCCTCTCCGCGTAGGGCCTGTCTTGCTGTCCCCTGATCATGAGGGTGGCCCTCCTCTGGATCCTTTCCATGTTGTCCACATCCCTCCTGAAGTGCGGTGCCCAGAACTGGATGCAGTACGCCAGCTGTGGCCTAACCAGTGTCCTAACCATAGAGGGACTTTCCTAGGCACCTTCCTGGTCTCATCTGCCACACCTTGATGGTATTATGATAAATAAGGAGGCTTCCCAAGGACCTTTGCATGGCCCCTGTCTGACTGAACCCCCTCGCTAGGGTTCCCCAGCACCCTACTGGCCCTCTATAGTCTCAGGCCCCTCACTAGGCCTCTATAGTCAACTGTGCCCCACAAGGCACCTAAATCCTTAAGATGGGGGTGGGCAAAATGCTGCCCGCTAGCCCATTCTATCCAACCTGTAGGACCCCTAAAAAATTTAGAAAATTAATATTTATCTGCCCCTGGCTCCCTGTCATGCAGCCCTCGAT